AGGAATAAAAACATCACTTCAAAACCAAGCAGATTTAAATAGGGCATCATGGAAACAGAAATACACTAAAAGTATTTACAGATAACATTGTGTTTTTATGAGAAGATAGAATGACAGAGTGGATTGGAGGGGATCTGACTGAATTCAGGATGTACAGAAGATAAAAGCGCAGGCAGTTTGGGTCACGTAAGAGCATCTCTCTTAGATCCTGCTTCCAGGAAGACACTTGATTTTAGAGCAGCTCCACACAAACCAGTTCACAGAGGTTCTGCTGCACCTCCAAGTGCTGGAGGAGGAAAAAGAGAGTGTCCCTTCCACCCACAAAGCCAGAGACTGCCAAGAGCACCCCAGCACCATCCTGGGCTCCAGCAGACCCTGCTCACAGCAGTGGTAGCAGGACCAGCACAGCTGAGCATGGGAAACTCAAAGCATGGATGACCCTAAGGCAGCAGCCAGCAGAGGGGAGGGCTGGAGGGAGTAACCTGGAGCTCTGCCTGGGGTTGCCATCACACTGCTGACAGGCTGTAACGTGTCTCAAACAGCCCTTTGCAAACAGACCTGGTACCATGAAAAATCACAGGGCTCATAAAAGAAAAAGAGCAAACAGAAAAGAAACGCAGCACCTGAGTTCATCCAGGCAAGACATAGAACCCACCAGAGCTGCTCCTTGGCATGTCAGAATGTCTTTGGGTATTTCCCAGATCTAATTTCCTACCCCGAAATCAGAAATAAAACAAGTGATGTGATGACAGGACTCTGAAGACAGATACCGGCTCACCTGTGTTATTACTGGAGTGATGAAGCCACATGGCAGACATCATACAGACCTTAGGGGGATGGGAATAGATTATACAGGGGGCAAAAATGTTCACAGAGTCTGACACTGGTATCTGGGACACAGTTCATGTGTGTGCTCTGCACACAGCAAACAGCAAAGCCTCAGCTGCTGATAGATTTGACTAACCACAGAACACATAACCAGCAAGGCATTGCTACACGAGGGAGGGCCATGTTTAAAGTGCTTCCTACAAGAAGAAAGAACATGGAAGCCAGGAGGGAAAGCAGTGGGTTAGTGTGCTTCACAGAATCACAGAATCATTAGGGGTGGAAGGAACCTCTGGAGATGATCCCATCCATCCCCCAAGATGCTTCCCCAGGATGAGAACAGGCTCAATTCCTGGCAGAGCACAGGACGCAATAACCGCACATTGCAAAGCAAAGCAGGGTGACAAAAGCATTATGAAAAGTGCACAGAAATTAAGCCTTCAGGCACAGTACCTTCACATTCAACCTTAAGAACTGTTCCTAACCCCATCCTCTTCTGCTCAAACACCAACATAAGCAGTGGCTGTGCAGATGGGGAAATGGTGAAAAACAAGGAAGAGAAGGGTATTCAGAGGCACTGAAGAAGGGACAGAGTAAGTGGGACCAGTGTGGTGGAGGGAATAGGTAAGTGCAGGTTGCTAGTGTTCTCACCCAAATTAAAGTGTCTAAAAAAGGCTGAAAACAAGATCTTGAAATGTCTTTGATAGGGAGAAGGGTTTTGCTCAACCCACTGCATTGGCCAAACTCACCCACCCACTGAAACATGGAGCTGGGAGTCCTATCCCAGGCCAGGAGTGTCAGGAACTTGCAGTGCAACACTTGGGATGAGAGACCAAAGCCTCTTGCTCTGCTCTGGGCATGCTGGTCCATGTCCTCCAGGCTCCTGGAAGAGCTGGGGACTTTCAGAGCTCAAGGGAGGACCATCCTGATCTGCAGAAAAGAGAGCTGGGAAGGGCATGAGCGCGATTCATGCTGTGGAGGTGCCTCAGGGCTTTGGCAAGTTGCCTCCAGGTACATTAGAGACGGACCCGCAAGGACAAAGCCCATGTTTGACACCTCGTGTGCAATTGCAGCAGGTTCCTCTAGCACCCCACAGGCTGGAGGGATTTCAGAAGACCATAGAACGGGAATTGCAACAAAGTCTAGACAGGATGTGATTAAAGCCTGAATAAGGATTGCCCCAGAGGTAAGGTCAGGGAAAGGACAGATCCTGGCAAGTCTCCAGAGAGACAGGTTGACTCCTTCAGGAGATGGGAGAGAGTTTCCTCAGTGATGAGGATGCAGAGCCTGATGTGGATAACGCCAAGGGGGAAAGATTCTGGGTAGGTTTGGGAATTTTTTTAGGCAGGGAGGAGTAGAATTAACCAGGATCTCCACCCCCAGCCCCTGCACCAGGGCCCTCCTCTCTTGAGCCAAAACAGAACAACATACAGAAAAAGTTCCTGCAAACCACAGGCGCAATGGTCCAGTTTGAGAGAGACTGGGTGGGAAGAGCAGTGGGAAAGTGGAAAACCCCATGGAGCAAAAAAGAAAGGACTGGTCAGAAACTAGACAGCCTCTGTTCAGGCTGGAGAGGAAGAGAGCTCAAGTCCAGCAAAAAGAGAAGGCAGAGCCCTTCTGTACCAGGGGAAGCTCCACCCTGTCCAGGCCAGTTTCGGTCTTGCTGGCCTCAGAAGTTTAGGTTCTCTTATCTCACAGCTCAATGGGATCAAAGCAGACCCCATTGCTCCATTGGAGAAGGGAAGTCTCTGGCTTTCCAGAGACCTGCACTGACCCCTCAAAGCTCTGCAAAGCCTGCCTTGACCCTGTGACACACTGCAGGCATGAGACAGCTTTTCCATGGGCACATGGCTGATGTCCAGTGTTGCTACCTACAACTGTCAGCTCCCGGCAACAGGGAGCCATGCAACAGCACCACGCTTGGGTTCACACCAAGGGAAAGATCCCTGCCTTCCAAAGCAGATACTGCCACGTGTTTCCTCCCATTCACTGCTTCTGTTTTTCCACTCTGTTTAGTCACAACCTCTTGCCTTGCCCCTCTGCCAGGCTTGCACAGGCATCACAGCCTCAAGGCACCATCATTCCCAAACACTGTCTCACACTCCTGGCCAGCACGCAGCATCCTGCCCTTCCCTGGCAGCAGCTGCAACTGGGAAACCCTCTCCAGCCTCACGGTCCTCTTCAGGGTATCATAAGCAAACAGTCTTTCCCCTGAGATGTCCTCCTCCTGATCCTGCCCACAGCAGGGGATCTGGAATGGTCATCTGGAGACAGAGCAGCACATCTCCTCTGGACATGCTTGTCCTGAGGCTCTCCACCATCTAAATATGAACACCCCATACACACAAGTGCTCCACCCAGGCTGCAAACAGCATTAGTTATTCATAGTTATTCTACATTTGGCTGCTACTACAGACCTCTGAGTCTGGCCTGAAAAGGAGCAACTCCAAACCAGCCAGGAGAAGCATCCTGACAGCAGGCTGGCCACCACATTTCCAAACCAGCACAGCACAGCTGCTACTGAGCCATGGGTTTACCTGATTTTCATTCATGAGGGTGTCCAGAAGACCCTGAGCAGCAAAGAACAGCAGCACAGGCAGTGAAAGAGGTTATTTTACAGATCAGTACCAAGTTTCCTAATTGCTCAGGCAATTTTTCATGTACTTTGGCAGAAAGAAAAAAAGTGATTCAAGTCAAAATTGAAAACCAGAAAGAAAGACACTTGAAGTAACACAATGTTGTACTGTTTTGTAGAGGCCACTGCTGTGGTGTGTCTCTGGGATTCTGCTGTTGGCCACCCATGTTGTGTTACCCAGAAAACCCAGAAAAGCTGTGGCTGCCCCATCCCTGGCAGTGTTCAAGGCCAGGTTGGACACAGGGGCTTGGAGCAACGTGCTCTAGTGGAAGGTGTCCCTGCCCGTGGCAGGGATTGGAGCTGGATGAGCTTTAAGGTCCCTTCCAACACAAACCAGGTTGGGATTCTATGATTCTATGAAAACTAAGATAAGCCAATTAAAAACTCCTTGTGGCTCTGTGAAGATTATACATTGTTTCCTCCAAATTCAAACCAAAATCATTCTGTACAGTGATGAGATTCTCTGAAAATGCCCCAAACCAGCAGCACTTTCCCCCAGCACTGGCAATGCTGGAGTGGGCTCCCCCAGCTGCTGCTTCCTCTGCCCCAAATCCTAGAGCTTTGCAGACGTTGCAGTTGGGTGCAAGTGAAGCCAGCGGCAAACGTAATCAACACATCCAAACCCTGCCAGTTGGGATGCTGTAAGCTGTCCCATACACAGGCTCAGGGTGTAGCCAAAGCTTTCCCATGTTTTTAACAGCCCTCTGATAACATTGCAGAGAAGCAGCAGAAAGAAGGAAAAGAAAGAGGAATTTGGACAAGGCATGTGACCTGTTTCAGGAGCTGAATTTCTGGAAGCTCCTGTTCTCTGTCTAGTTCTTTAACCTGGCCCAAAATACTCTTCAGCTCCCTCTTTCTAGGTCTGAGTGGCCTCAACTGCCAGGCTGTGACCAGCAGGCATTTCCCATCTGCAGTTTCTTTGTGAGCATGAAGAAAGACCAAAAAAAAAAAGTTGATTTCTAGCAGAGAAAAGCTTTGATATTGAGTTTTATCCCATGAAACACTGACTACAAGTTCTCCAAAAATCAGCACTGCACAGTGAAACATTTCTTTTTGCAATCTGCTATATAACACTGCAGAAAGCATGTTTAGAAAGCTCAGTCTTACCTGTATGGTCCTGGTCCTGCTCTCATGAAGCAGTAGCTCCTCTGACAGCAGCAGAGTCCGGGCTGGGTTACAAAGATCTAGGGGCTACATTTGAAAGGAAAAAGGAAAAACAGAGAAAGACTCAGTCAAACCTTCCACTGGAAACGTGGTTTGCCAGAAAAACTTTCCACCCACCAAACCCACTTTGTCTTCACTTTGAGCTGTAAGCCATTCAGGAAGAAGCCACCTCAACAGTGTGCTCAGAAGGACAGCAAGTCTGCAGTTCAGCCACTTGATAAAAAGAAGACTGAACACTTAACACCTACGTCAGACCCAGCTATAAAAAGACCATCAGCCTCCTGCCTCTGCGTGTTAACTGCTCTGCAGCGTGGGTTTGGTGATGGGTGCTCCTTAGCAGGAAACACAACCACAACAGTGGCACGTTGGGTTCTCACACCCCACAGACAACGATATTTGCGATATGATTTTATGGATTAGAATCATAGAGTCACAGGCTGGTTTCGGCTGGAAGGGACCTTAAGCCCAGGGCAGGGACACCTTCCACTAGAGCAGGCTCATCCCAGCCCCTGTTCCCAACCTGGCCTTGAACACGGCCAGGGATGGGGCAGCCACAGCTTCTCGGGGCACCCCGTGCCAGCACCTCAGCACCCTCCCAGGGAAGAGCTTCTGCCTCAGAGCTCATCTCAATCTCCCCTCTGGCAGGCTAAAGCCATTACTCTCACAGTAAGTTAAAGTGACTTCAAGAAGGCTGCCACACTCAGCTCTCTGGTTCATGCCTCCCTGTTTAATGCTGGAGATGAACAAGACAGGTTCAGTTGTCCCAGCTGCAGAACAAACTCTGACAAACCAGCCCAGGACAATCATCCTGAGACACATGGTCAGCAGGCACTCGAGGGGACTTGCAGTACGTGAGAGCATAAAACCAGCTCCTAAGTTGCAGAAACAGCCCAGATTCCCAAGACACAAGTTTTGGGAATAAAGAGGCAGAAGTGCTGGTTGTGTTCCTACCACAAGGCAAACTGTGCACGCAGCCAGGGCTGGTGACCACACTGATGCTTATGAGAACAGCCACACAGGTGCTGTTGGGGAGGATGGAGATGAGCATAAGGCAGCCCCGCAGCACCAGCCCAGCACCACGTTTGCCTCCAGGGCTGGCTCAGGCTGGACTGATGAACAACATGGATCATGGGTTTCAACCATCATGAGCTGACGTAACAGTGCCATTGCTGCTCACAGGGTAGGACTAATGGTTCCCCACAGTCTCAGTGATGAATGGATTCATCAGTGATGTACTTAAACATACAGGACTGGATGAGGTTTTCTGGGATTCTGGCCATATGAGGGGCAACATGGAAGACACAGATGTAGTCAGAGCTGCTACCATCAAATTCAGAGTCAAGTTTTAAGAAAAACATTTATGGAACTAGGAAATGTGAACATCCTCTGTCAAGCCATTTCTGCTCTGGATCCTTGCATGTGATTTTAGTGCTGGTACCCAGCTAAACTAAAAGGACCTTTGTTTGCACACTGTTATTAACAGCACATAGAACCTGTGGAACTATGTGAAGTTGGTGGCTGAGGCCCAGAAGCTGGGATACCCTCTCCTGACTCAAGCAAGCACCTGAGGACGAGATCTGAAAGCTGAAACGGGAAAAAACTCTGACAGAGAATTGCTTGGGCAGGATACAATTCCCTTTGAGAATGTACCCAGCACTGTGCTGAGTACAGCCAGCTCCAGGGGGGATCCATGCATTCATGGTATATACTGCTGGGACATAGATCCACCTTGCATGGCAGATGGGACCCAACCTCCAGCAGCAAGCACTGAGTGCTTAAGACCCATAACACCACACTTGCCCCTGCACTTACCTGCACAAAGATGGGGAACACCAGCACTTTGGGAGCCAGCGTCACGTAGGTGCCGTAGCTGGAGTGCGGGATATGCGGCCTCACAATGGTGCAGTTCTGGTAGTTCCCGTAGTTCTTCATTGTCTGTACAGTCTTCATGAGCCTGGATTTTCTCCCAGAGCCTGTGTGTGATTTCCCTTTACATGCATTTCCTGGAGCGACAGAGGAAGCAGAGAGAAATCCAGGCTCAGAGGGGAGCTCCTGCCGAGCTGCTGCATGCTGCCAGCTTGCTTCCTGCTCCCACAGGATGCAGCAGGGCATGTAGAGCCCGCCGGGAAGAGCTGGAGCTGAGAGCTGCAGGGACACCCATCACGCTGCTGACAAAGTTTCCCAGGGATCCAAGAAATAACAGCACTGACTTCACTTTTCCTGCTGCAAAATGACATGGCCCTGGACATGTCTGCTCAAGAGCTACTCGCTTGCTGGACCGAGGACTTAACTGCATCACACCAGCAGCACAAACACCTCTCTGTGTGTGCAAATGAAAACCCAAGGAAGTAATAGAATCACAGACTGGTCTGTGTTGGAAGGAACCTTAAAGCTGATCCAGTTCCAACCCCTGCCACAGGCAGGGACACCTTCCACTAGAGCAGGTTGCTCCAAGCCCCTGTGTCCAACCTGGCCTTCAACACTGCCGGGGATGGGGCAGCCACAGCTTCTCTGGGCACCCTCTGCCCGTGCCTCAGCCCCCCCACCGGGAAGAATTTCCTTATATCCACCCTAAATCTCCCCTATTTAAGTTTGAACCCATTCCCCCTTGTCCTAGCAAGCCCCAACAAGCCCAGTTGCAGGCCAGTGCCTCTGCCACTGTTTGGGTATTTGCTGCCTTCCACACAATATATGAATACAGTACTTTGGAGGAAGAGATGTGGTGCTACTATGCACACCTCTCTGTGCAGCACTGAAAGTACAGAACAACCCCAAACATGACTTTAAATGGACACTCTTGAATCACAGGAGCACCAAGGAGGTTCCCACCATTCAGGAATACCACTGAAGTATGACCCTTCCCTTTGCAGGGAGGAGAAAACCCACTGTGACTAACTCAGTGTGGGGAGAAATACTGGAAATTTAAATCTTGGGACATTTTTATCCACCCAAGTCCTGCCTGCTCTGGATTCTGGGCATGGGAACTAGCAAAGTGCAGGAATTTCACATCACTGGGTGCCTGGTGATGGGTCACACTTTTTAGAGGATACTAAGACTGGAGGTGTCAGAGAAGGGAACATAAGTGACAAACACATTCATGGCATGGGATCAATCTATGCCTTTCTAAATCAGTCCCATGGATGTGATGGCTGCTCAGACATGGGGGTGTATTTATAAAGCATGAGCTCATTTTGCATGAGGCTGGCACAACACCAGCCACTGGGTTCAGCATTACACTTCAGTGCCGGAAAACATCCGAGCAGCCTGACTGGATTTCACTCTTTTCCTCTTCATTGCAGCGAGCCAATATCCCCACTCAGAGCAGGGATTACACAGGAGCTTTCCCCTGCAGCCTCCCACCTCAGCTGCTCCAGCACAGCTCTGACTTGCCCAAGATCTAACACCAGCTACTGCAGCCACCCCAAACCCACCAGTCTGCATCACCAGAGGCCAGGAGACACCAGGTGATGTGTCAAATCAGCCCCAGAATCTCGAATGCAATTTATAATCCTGTGATTAAAAGCATTATTGTTAATTATCTACAGTTACCCTTGCTCCCTGCAGGCTGCTGTGGGGGGGAGTCCCACTTTCCCCTACTGCCAAGTAATTGCTGCTATCTAGGACTTCTAAGCCCTTTCCTCCCATCCCAGAGGAATGCCTTTGGACACACCCAGCAAGCTCCCACCAGCATTTTGTCTCACAAGTTCAGGCATGGGATGTGGGGTGATCTGGAGATGCTTTGCTTGGATAGAAACTACGATTTTCTCAGCACCATCTCAGACTGCTGGGAGCTGAACCTAGAACTCACAGGCAATAACTCCAACAGGAACTGAATATCTCTAACCAAAAATTCATGTCTTCTTCAAAAGAAACCCCAGTGAAAAATCCAAGTATTTCCTTCCTGCCTCCTGAGGCTGAACCAAGTGAGCTCAGGTCCAGCAGGCAGACCTCTCCACTTGGATTTGAACATACCCTGCAGAGAAGCTGGCGCATTGGCCTAATCTTCCCCACCACATGTCTCAGGAACATATAATCATGGAATCCCAGTCTGGTTCAGGTTGGAAGGGACCTTAAAGCTCACCTGGTTCCAGCCCCCTGCCATGGGCAGGGACACCTTCCACTAGAGCAGGTTGCTCCAAGCCCCTGTATC